ATGTTATTATTACATCTACGTATAACTCAAATGGAGATACTTAGTTAAATCTTAGGTACAGGTGCGGACTGGCTGGGATGCTGGGATGCTACAGCATCCCTTGCCCTAAAATATATTCGATCTAAAATTTGATCTAATTTGTTTTTAATCTAATATTGTACAATTTTGTTTGAATATTAGTTATATCTTGGTACCTATTAACGAGTTTTTCTTATTTTCAATATTTTATACATAATCTACATATTTTAAATTTTTCACACATTTTTGTTATTTGCCCTTTGAATTATGTAGCATCCCATGCCCTTTTTCACCAGTCCGCGCCTGCTTAAGTAATAATATATAGTAATATCTATATTATAAGTACTATGTATGACTAYATGAGTGATAGATGGTAAATGAGCGCCAAAAATAATTTTTTAAATAACCAATTTTCTTTGTTGAAATGCAGTATCGTAACTTGCAAGTATTGATAAATCATTATAACTGAAGGGCCGCAGCCGGGGAGGTTACTATTCAAAATTKTCGTTGTTGACCTACGGCCATTGTCATATAAAGCTTTTAGCTTATAAACTTGCTATAGTTAAATTTTTTATTAATTTTATGGTTACGTGTCACTTATCGACCGTCACTTGTTATTAATCAAACTAAAACTGRGTTTACGTAATAATTATCATGGCATCGAGATTCTAAAATAACGTTTTTTATGTCTTATAAGTATTACATATTATGACTTCTAGAATTGTCTTTAATTTTATWAAATCRGTAATTATCGGAAGAATTTTGATTGGCAAGGAAGTYGAGTGCCTATTKTTTTATATTTAATTTTAAGGCCACCAAGTGGCTCGTTTACTAGCGCTACTACTAGTGAGTTATCCACAGTATTAATTATCTTAGCATATTTCAACAAGTTTGACAATAGTATARGTAGTTTCGATATATAAACACCACGCATGCTAGTGATTCTGAACCAACGATTTTTTTCTGTTTCTAAAAAATCTTAAAAATAAAGGACTAAAATCATCCTCCCCTCAGAGAGTTTGAATATACTAACGATACTGTCAAAACTAGTATACAGTACACTATACATATATAAACAAAAAAAAATAGTATTATTTTCTTTTTGTGCTATGCAGCCATATATCAGAAAGCGGAAGCACTGTACCATCTCGGCGATTTCGAACACAGTCTCGTGTTTTACCACAGAGGACTCCACGTTCGACCGGAGCTTGAACAGTTCAGGCTGGGCGTGCAAAAGGCCAGAGAGGCCATCGAAAATGCCATAGGTAAGTCCAAAGGTTGTTTTCATCGCAAGACGAGAGCATAGGGGGCTTAGTAAGTTCCCACACGTAAAAATAATGACAGCCGTACATAAGTTTCCCACAAGAAAAAAAATTATACTGAACATAAGCTTCCTTTTAATTGAATCTAGTCCATATATTAGGTATGGAATAAAAAAAGAAATAATAATAGAAGAAATAAAATTTTATTTGATCAAACACTTCACAATATAGTCACACTGTATTATTATTTTTATGTTTAGTTAAGAAACAAAATGTATGGTAAATTATCTGTCAATTAATAATTTATTTGAAGCTAGACAAAAAGTACTCTAATTAAAGTAAAATTAAATGAAGGTAATTTGATATCTTAAAATACCAAAGTCAAGAAAAGAAGTTCATAATACTTTGAGTTCAATTAATGTAAAAACAAATAGGTCTAATAATAAAAAATACAGATGGGTAAACATTTTATTTTTGAAAATGACGATTTAAATGGGATTATCTMTTATATTTTCACGTGATAGGTACTAATTTTGAATTTTTGAAAAAACTGGAAATACTTTWCATGGATTGCACTTATAATTATTGACTATTGTGATAAAAATTTCACTCAACTTTATACAGTTCAATTAGTTCATGGATTAAAAAATAGTATTTATATTCCATTAATGTTTTGCTTTTTACCAGATAAAACATCGAAAATGTATAAGTATTGAATTATTAAAAAAAAATTAATGTAGTTGGAATAAACCCAAATAAATTTGTCTTAGACTTTGAGATATCAATGCACCAAGCAATAAATATAATATTTCCGACAGCACAAATATGGGGATGTCGTTTCCATTTGAGCCAAGCTTGGTACCGTAATGGTACCGTAAAATTCAAAGCTTAGGGTTTGCATAAGAATTTAATTTTGCAAATGATGAATTAGGAAAGTGGCTGGTACATATATTTGGTTTACCATTTCTTAATCCGATTAGTTGGAGATTATTTTATAAATATTTTCATGGCTGAAAAAACAAAAAAATAATAAAATAAATTAATTTTGCGATTATTTAGTGACTAATTAGTAATTACATCGAAGATACGAGTAAGTTCCCTCCCAGTATTTGGGCTAGTGCTAGTTCTGCTACAAGCCTTACTACAAACGCTTGCGAAAGTTTCCATTCTAAATTCAACTCAAATTTTAATCATCATCATCCTAATATATTCTGCAAAATAATAAAAGTTTTAAAAATGTTTCAAACTAATATWTATATATAATTAAGAACATCAGATTTCAATAGATCTCGAAAAATAAGAAAAACGAAACTATATCAATAATAAAATATCTGATTATAGCTTAAAAATAATTACTCATTATATGACTATGTGAAGTGTTTGAGCTTTCCCAATAATAAGGCAAGTAAAATTTGATTTTTTCWATAATAATTATTTTATAGGTACCTATAAAAATGATATGTAGACCATACCTACACATTATATTATTAATTTGTATTATACCTATGTTATATAGAAACCAAACAAATTTTAACCACACCAACTACATTTAAGTTGTTAGTCCTAAGTCTGAATAAAGTGGGAAGAAAGTTTATATTCGGTAATTTTTTTTTCGTGTGGGAACTTACCCATGGATAATCTTTATCTGTCATATCTCGTGTAGGAACTTACATTCGTCCGAGCGTAATAGCTTGACCTGTAGGGGCAGATTTCTAGAACTCGGTTATACAATGGACTAAAAACTGCACGTAAATTCATTATTCAATTATATAWTATGTATAAGTATTATAATTTATAATGTCCCAAGGATTTCAACACGCCCATTCATTAATCATTAACATAATATAGGTATGTTCATGATTCTTACAAATTTCTTACATAAATCAAGATAAATGTTTAAATAATTCGAAATTATTTAAAAAAAGAAAATYAAGCACAGAATAGTGGTGTTTTGGGTTTAGTGCATACATTTTTTTTATAGTACCTACTTATCTATATTTTTATGTTTTATAAACTATTAATAATTTCTCATAAGCCTAAAAAGTATATAAGTAAAATCCCTGCATACCTAGGAAAAATGAAGGACACCACCTTCGTCATACAGCAGGTCGGCTGGGCGGTCAAGCGTCAAGCGACCGCAGCTGGAACAGTCAATGGAGGCAGTGGTGGTGTCGGTGGTAGTAGAGGTTCGACACCTGCAGTGACGGGATCAGCAACGAGGCGCAAAGACGCAGTGGCGTCGGCGGCCACCACCAAAAGCCAATCGAAAATGTTGCTTAGGGAATTGTGCGTGGACAAGGACTATTTGGAACACTTGACGATAGATCCAAGTAATATAACTATTATCCTAGGGTTGTKATTTTTTGTGAATATYCATCGCAATAGTTTTAAAATAATTGAACGCGCTAATCTCAGGAACTACTGGTTTGAATTTAAAAATTATTTATTTGTCAGATTGTTCTTTGATCGAGAAAGGCTCTAAAACATTTTTAGAAAGTCTACAGGTTTAAGAATTTATAAGAAATGTATGAATTTGCTATTTAAAAAGCATTAAAATTATTGCTACGTATCAAAAATTCAATGACGCAGTGGCACTTCAGTAGGATTAATATGCTTTTTGTACTGTTTTCAAAACAAAAAAATCTTAAAAGTGTTATGATGACAAAAAAATAACAATTGGAAACATATCATGGCAAAACATTGCTGTAATTTTTTTTTTTTTTTGATAGAGGTAAAAAAACATAATGGAATCCAAATTGAAATCAAATTTATTTAAGATTAACTTTTATAAAAATTTCTAACGTTATCTATGTTTATTCGCAACACTTAGTATATCCCATTGTATATACAATTAGTAAATTGAACATAATTTATTAAATTAACTAACCACAATGCGAAGTCGCAATCACATATTTTATGTAGGTATAGTAAATATTACAATTTAATTAATGTAATTCATACACTTGAACCGTTGCTCATCCCAAACATATTGAACTAGTATACTGATATAATTATTATTGTTCTACACATTCAATTTGTCGAGCTACAATATTTTTATTTTAATAATTATTCGAATTTATAAATAATAATTTATAAAAGCTCCATAAATATTGGTTTAGTATATTAATAATTAGTTTTAATAATTTGCTTTTTTTTTAATAGATATCGTGAGTGCCATAAAAGAGGACGACGACTATATACTGTCTGAAGCGAAAGATGGCATTAGTTTTCTAAATGGCCGAGAAGAGTTCTGGAAACAACAAAAACTTATTAACTAGATTTATTATATACCTAAAATGTATTTTATTTAGGTATGCATTATGCAGTTTAGGACAAATGACAATTGATAGGATATTTTTGATTTAATCGACTATAGGTATACATAACTAGTCGTAAATTAATTAATTTGATATTGAGTAGTTTTTTTTTTAGTTTTAGATTCAATAGGAGCTAGAAACGTATTGGTTTTACAATGATATATTTTTTAAATCTAGTCTACTTATTTTTGAGTCGTCCCACTTACATCCATTTTTTGAGTGTACCTACCTGTCTCATAATTTCAAAGCAGTAGATTACTATGTTTCCATATGCCACGGACATCTRTTTTTATTAAAGATAATTCATAAATCAATTTTTTTCAGATGCATACGTAAAAAATAAACTCTTAGAATATTATTTGCATGTAGATACTTTAATAAGCAATCTAAATATCAATTTCTACCGTTTGAATAAGATTTTTTACTATCTCATAAACATCCATTATTAAAATAAATCTATCAATAATAAATTGATAGGTATGTACATAAAGTGGTGATTTTAAGCGCAAAAGGTTAACTTTTGATAAATAACGACGCGTACATTTGAACAGACACCGCTCAGAGATGCCCTCAGAGGCGGTTTGAATGTATTATACTTAGTGGTGCAAGACAATATATAGACATCCCCCCCCCACCACCATCATAATAGAAATTACAAATAAATATTTTTTAATAAGTTTATAGTTTATAATTATAAGGCCCTYATATTYTTAMCTCRACGCTTTCAACAGTTTCAGCCACGATTATCATTTATCATATGTCATTGATTAGGTATACTTTATTACTTTTTTCATTTATTAAACATTAAAATTAAACATTGCGGTCAGCACATGCTCAACCAAGACCACCCACCCCCCCCTAACATTGGTGGTGCAGTGCACCAAAAATAGTATACTCAAACCGCCTCTGGATGCCATCCTATTTAAACTTTATTTTAGGCATGCAATTCGGATGAGACCGTACAGCTGTATTATAGATGCCTATTAAA